TATTTATCAACCAAACACGAGCAACGTGTCACATTTTAACGCCGTTGTGGCATATTTCCACTAATGCCATATATGGAAAAATCATGCACATGATGCATACATAATGCTGCTTCACAGTTTAGATAAAAATGGTTAGCTCATGCATTTACATTCCTGCATTCATCAACGCAAGCAACACAACGTACAGCTAATTTACACAAAATCACCTTGCAATTCATGCAGGGCTTTGCACAACACACCTGCTGGGTGTGTACACACTACAAAGGTGTCTAGATTCCACCAATAGATCATGCTGGGAGGGAACACACTACAGAGGTGTATACTTGTTCGTGGTGTGTTTATAAGGTTAGTAAATCAACCCCTATATTTGATATCTATCAATTAGTCATGGGATCCTCAGCACCTAGGTCTCCGCAAGTTGCCCTATTATCCATTTTGCTTGGATCTCAGTCAGCTATGACTAAAGATCCTCTTCGCTTCTCAAGAGTGGTGATTGCTCGTAATTGGAGGACTCCCTCTGTCTCACATATTTGGGAGTGAATAAGGGAGATGTGTAACTTTATGAGAATGAAAGACCTAACAACTCCTCAGCACCTAGGTCTCCGCAAGTTGCCCTATTATCCATTTTGCTTGGATCTCAGTCAGCTATGACTAAAGATCCTCTTCGCTTCTCAAGAGTGGTGATTGCTCGTAATTGGAGGACTCCCTCTGTCTCACATATTTGGGAGTGAATAAGGGAGATGTGTAACTTTATGAGAATGAAAGACCTAACAACTCCTCAGCACCTAGGTCTCCGCAAGTTGCCCTATTATCCATTTTGCTTGGATCTCAGTCAGCTATGACTAAAGATCCTCTTCGCTTCTCAAGAGTGGTGATTGCTCGTAATTGGAGGACTCCCTCTGTCTCACATATTTGGGAGTGAATAAGGGAGATGTGTAACTTTATGAGAATGAAAGACCTAACAACCTAATGCACTATGGTGCCCTTGGATCCAGCCTTCATGATCAATGTTCCTTCTTGATTATATACTGCTTTCCCTTGACCTGGAGTCAAGCTGTGGATAATAGCATGATTGGAGGCTGGGTCCTTGGGTGACTTTTGTGACCTCTAAAACTTGCTTGTTCAACAATCATATTTCTGGGGTGTGTTTGCACCTATCTTATACTTTAAAAACCTCGATCACGCTGCCAGTGGGGGGGGGGGGGGGGGGCAGAGC